CTCTCTCTCTCTCTCTCTCTCTCTCTCTCTCTCTCTCTCTCTCTCTCTCTCTCTCTCTCTCTCTCTCTCTCTCTCTCTCTCTCCCCGTTGGGATTACTCAAACCACTACCTATTCCAAGTGAACTAGGTGAATCCATCTCCATCGATTTTATGAGCATCACTAAAAGTCGAAACGGGAATAGTCAAGTGATGGTTATTGTTAACAGATTCTCCAAGTATGAGATCTTCATTCCTTTACCAGTCGAAGCCAAGACTAAACTTGTTATCCAGAAGTTCCAGACACGATGGGTTTTCGAATATGGATTCCCTAAAACCATTGTATCTGATCGAGATGCCAGGTTCACATGTCAACAATGGCAAAAGGTAATGGAAGTTTATGGCACTAGGTTGACCATGTCGTCATGGAGACACCCCAAAACGAACGGACAAACTGAGCAGATGAATCGACTGTGCCAACAACTTGTGCGCATGTATGTTCGACCTGACCAGATTGATTGGGATGAGAACTTGCCAAAAATTGGTAGCGCATATAACAACAGTGTTCACACTGTCACTGGTAGGACACCCAATGCATTGCCCTATTGATGCTTTGACCAGGGAACAAGTTGAGGTGCCTTATTGATGCTTTGACCAGGGAACAAGTCCGACGACTGTCACCAGGTACGAGATAATTCGCAATTTTGTATGAACAAGGTATCACAAGGTAAAGGAGAATATAAGGAAAACCCAAATTCGAATGATTGAACAAGCAAACAAACATCGGAGACCAGCGCAGTTCAAAGAAGGTGACCTGGTCTGGCTAAAATCTAACGAGTTCTCCCTTGAAGAAGGAATATCACAAAAATTATTGCCTGTCTACTATGGACCCTGGGAAGTTCTCATGGTGATAGGGGACACAGATGGACCGTCATATCGAGTGGATGCACCCCCACACCTAAAGACTTATCCTGTCTTTCATGCTTCTAAACTGCTACCCTATGTCGAAGGCCAAGATTTCCCTAATAGACCATCCATGTTCCTGTTATGACCCGGACCAATTGCGAAGTACAAATTCACCAATCGACACAATGTTCCCCAACTGCAAAAGGAAATGAATGAACTTGAGAGGATGGAGAGGATAAGAAGAAGAAGAAGAAGTAGAAAAGATTGGAAAAGACAATGTACACCAGCGAGAACCAATGTCAAAGCTCTTCTTCTTCGCTCAACTCCCTTGCATCTTATCTCCCCCTCCTCTTTATAAATTCAAACAATAAATAATACAACAATGTTGGATTGAGGGTCCAGTATCACTGCCCAAGTCTCTCTTCTACAGCTGGACAACTATGAGGTCCACCATAGCCATAGCCGCCTCTCCTTCCTAGGCTGAGGCTATGGCGGGCTGCGGAGTACAACCACGATGCTCAAAGGACTCCCCAAATGAGTTATGGCTGCCCCCCCCTAAGTGCCGACACGCCCCAAGATGCTTCGGCGATGCTTGGAGTAGCTCCCTCCCTCGGAGGGCCTTCTTACTGCTGCTCCAAGGAGTAGGAGATGGCTGCCACCATAGCCGGTACGTACCTCGGCT